AAAGTGAATCCTTTTGAACCAACATTTCATTTTATCCTGGCTGTTTTGCAGCTCAAGAATTGCTTCTCGCGGCATCTCACTTGCTGATTCACTATCTGATGATCTTCTTCTTGATGATGCAAGCCAGATCACCCATATACAACCTCCTGATAATGATGAAGTTGCAGTGTCCTTATTATCAGCTTTTTCCAGATGGAAAGCAAAAGTAGTTGGACTATGGTCCTATGCAGTTCAGAGGTGGCCATCAGTATGCCCTCTTCCTTGAACTTTTTTCTGCATTGTTTGCAAAATTTGGTCAAAGACAGTCGGAGAATATGGTCTCAATTTGCATTAAAACCCATTTTGCATTACTTTCCTGTGATACTTTTCTTTCAACAATTCACTTATTTTTTCCACGTATGCTCATCACATTTCTTGGTTTAAGCCATATATATTTTGTTTCATTTGTAACATCTTCTGACGCTTTTGAGTTCAGGTCCTTCCTTTTTGCCCGTGAGATTTTACAGTTGGTTCTCCGCACTAACCTCATGTTTTTCTATTTTGAAGGTAATAAATACATTATTGGTGTTGCCTATCCATTCATTATGGATTATGCGGTTTAGTTTGAGAAACTTCTTAATGTCTTACAAATTTTCTTTGTGACAGGTCTCTATTATCATGTTTCAAAACGTGCTGCAGGGATTCGCTATGTCTTCATCAGCAAAACTACCAGCCAACGACCGCGGTAATTTTGTTGCTCAAGATGAGCCATTCTGAAACATCTTTGCCTATTGGGCCATGTAGATTTACATTTCTATACTGTTCTGTTGCAACCGACTTTTTTTCTTCTGGCTTATCAATTATTTCTAAATCTTTTAGAAAAAAAAAGGTTATTTGTAGATTTTTTTAATTATAGACTACATACGCAAACATTGTGCATCCACAAATACAGTCTGCGTACTGGTTTATAGTAGTTTGATGTTCTTGCATGTGCCTTGTTACTATTTGAAATTTTTGCAACTATCATTGCAGAAGCCGGGTAGACATATCTATTTGTATGGTCCTTTCTAAGTATGTCCAAGATGATCAGGTTCCTCTTTTCATGCAGATATCAAATATTAGGTGTTTTTCTTCTAGTTCAGCTTTGTATCATTGCTGCCGAAGGATTGCGCCGGAGTAATTTATCTTCCATTGCCAGCTCAGTTCATCAAGCATCTCCTGGGACCTACCAAACATCTGCAGGTTTCTGAAATGTTCAATTTTCCCAATTATACACTAATGTAGCATCAGATCCTATGTGTTTCTATTTTCCCTTTTACAACTTACGGGTTGCCAATTAACTATTTTTTTTTCTTATGCTCGAGTCTGCAGGGCGTGGTTTACCTGTTTTGAATGAAGAAGGCAATCTCATAAGTGGGGATACTGAAAAGAGTAGTTGGGTCTCTGATCTGGCATCAACTTCTGAGGTAGGTTTAGTGTTTTATTCAGTTCAGGATATGCATCATTTTCTGAGGACAAATGCCCACTAACCTTTATGTTATGTTCTACTGCGTATTAATGCATGTGATGCTATAATGATGGTTTGCCTTTCTCAGTTTGTTGAAGATGATTTAATTGATGTCTAAATATAGGCTGAGTTGCTACATGTCAGGTTATGTACAAGTATATGTAATGTTGCTTTTGCACCATTCAGTTGTGACTACAAATTTGTAGAACTAATTACTGAACTTCTTTAAATCTTGAGCTTCCCCAAATACAGGAAAGCAAGCAGGTTTCTATAGTATATTTGCTATCAGTTAAGACTTGTGTTTCTTTGAGAATCCAGTTTTAAGCACAATTCTTGGCTGTCAATTTGTCAGCTACAAGTGTTTCATTCTTATCATTCTTTCTCCTTTTTCTTTTTTGCCTTTTCTTTTACAAATTGTGTTAGTCTAAATTTTCTGATAAAGATTTGAGTCCACTTGATTAAATAAACACCTGCAAAATTTGAACTCTGAAGTCCGATGTTAATAGTGAACCTCCTTTTCTTTTTTGCCTAAATTTTGAAGTGCTGCTAATAAATATCTCCTTTCCCTTTTTTTTTCCCTTAAGGGTCACAGTTCTTGGCATGTTTTGTTGTGTTTGATTGCAAATTAATTCTCAAAAATCATAATTGTTTTAGTCTAGTGCGACTGGAGTTAGCAAATGCACACTTTGCTTAAGCAGCCGCCAACACCCGACAGCCACTCCTTGCGGTCATGTGTTTTGCTGGTAATGTCTTCTGGAACCTGCTGTGTTATCTTTTATGCCGGCAGAGTATAGCTTACTTTCTTGCTCACCTTTTTTTTTTAAATTAAATTTGATGTTGCTTTAATTGTAGGAACTGCATTATGGAGTGGTGTAACGAAAAGCCTGAGTGTCCTCTCTGTCGCTCTCCTGTAACTCATTCGAGCCTAGTCTGTCTCTATCATTCAGATTTTTAGCTTGTCATATTGAATTCAAGTGCAAAATACAAGAAATAGTGACCTAACTACGTAGAAGGGTAAGCTTAGCGGGCATTTTTTTGACCTACATCAGAGCTTGATTTTCTTTATGATTAGCTCATGAGAAATTGACCAATTAAAAGATTTATATCCTTGTTAAAATATTACGTCTGAGGATGCCATGATTAGTCATTCGTAGTCTTGTGTAACAGCATAGAAGGATTCAATAAGAGTTGTTTTCCTTGTATGAGCCTATCGGTGCTCAAGCATACAAAAGAACAGCACAAACTGTATAAAAGTGAATGTTGAAACCTGAAATTCCCTATGTAAATGCATGGCAGCAATGCCTTTGTCAAGTTCTGTGTATATATATATATACACACACACATACACGATGAATTATAGATTGAATTTGAAAGGTCACTATTACAGCGATCTGGTCAGGACGAAGTACCTGTCTCGTGTCTGAAGGTGACCAGATCTTCCATTTCCATCCAACACGGAGTCCAGAAAATGATTCTGGTTCTCCCTCCAGTGATGGACTGGGAAATTTTTCTGTATAGTTGGTTAAGAGTTTGCTATGAAAGTCTTGAGATGTATATTATTTTCCATTTGGCATGTATGTCAAATTTGTGCTGATTCAGCAGCTTTTTCTCATGTGGGTAAATCTGCTAAGTATTTTTTATGTCTTCAGGTGAGTTCACCAGTAATAGGGCTGCAAACGAGTCGAGCCGAGTCGAGCTTTGAGCTAATCGAGCCGAGCCTCAACTAAATTTTACCAAGCTCGAGCTCGAGCTCGAGCTCGACGAGCTGGCAATTTTCGAGCTCGAGCTCGACTCGAATCAAGTCGAGCCGAGCTCGAGCTCGAGCTCGAGCTCGAAAAAAATAAAAAAAATATATTTTTATTAAAAAAAAATAAATAAAATAATATTTTTTTCTGAATAAATAATAAAATATTAAGGATATATCCGTAATTTCACTATGAAAATAAAAAATAAAAAAAATATATATAATATACGTAATTTTATTATTAAATAAAAATAAAAATAAAAAATATATATATATATATACTCAAGCTCGCGAGCCTAACGAGCTTAATATTCTGAGCTCGAGTTCGAGCTCGAGTTTGACTCGAGCTGGCTCGAGCTCGACTCGAGCTCGATTAATCTCGAGCTCGACTCGAGCTTGACTCGAGCCGCTCGCGAGCGGCTCGATTCGTTTGCAGCCGTAACCAGTAAGAAGCTTAGCAGTTACCTGGTTTTTCGCAATTGTTTATTGACATATTTTTCTTGAAATTAAAGAATTGTTGTTACTTATATTCGTTTAGGCAAAATAAGGAAATGGATTTCTGAAAGGTCTGTTTTAAGGCGATTTCTCCTGTTTTCCCAGCTTCCAAGTGTTTCCTTCACTTGAAAACTGGCTTTCAACTCGTGCATTTAATGTACGGAATAACATATTCATTTAATGAATAGTTTTTATATTAATTGTATTTAGGAATGTTTATGCAATTTTAAGAATTTATTGAATCAGAGGTAATAAATTGCTAAGTCAAATTCTAATATTATCAAGTTGTCGGAGAATTTTCTTATAAAAGGGTTAAATGCAGAAAACCACCTGAACTTTCATATGAGTTGCACAATACACCCCTAAATATGTTTATAGGCAGAACGCGCCCAAGGTCCACTGAAAAGTAATGGATATTTACACACCGTTTATTTTAGGACTCAAATGACAACTTTATCCTCAAATAATAATTGAACGGACAAAATCACCCTTCTTCTCCTCCAAATCTATTATGTCGAGCGAAAAGTACAAGGCAAAGCTGAATCTTGAGTTTGCCAAAATTTTTTGCCTTTTTCTTGCAATCAAGAAAGAACCAAAACTGAATGACTGCAGAGGGTAATTAGAAGTGGGCAAAAGCAAATGACAGTCTGAAGAATCCAAAAACAAGTAGAATATTTAGAGTATCTCAGCAAATCAGGTAATATGCAAAGCCTTAATTTTTTCTTTATTTAATCAATTTTTTACCCTTTTTTGTGTGGATCTGGATGCCCAAAGCAGTGGGCTTTAGTTTTAGAATAGGTATTTGTATGGTTGTGATGGAATATATATATTGCATGTGGTCGTTATGTTGGTTTCATGTCGGGCTGATTGCGACCAAATTTTCTTATCTGTTCTTTTCATGCAATAATTGTGTTGTTTATAGGTTTCTTTACAAGATTCTAGTCTGTTAAGCAGGGGTTGGTGTTGGTAGTGTGTTTTAAGTTTATTATTGCTAATTACAGTATGTTAACTAAGTTCAATAAAGGTGGTTTTGTGGTCTCTCACTCAGATTTATTGTTTTTTTGTCACGAACTAGTGTGGTCATCACCGTTGGAAAGTATGTTCTCATTGGAAGTCCATTATGGGGGCCATTTTGTAAAAAACCCAGAACTAACATATGTGGATGGTAATATAAAACATTTCAATTATATTGACCCAGATTATGTGTCAAGATTTGAGATCTGGGGGCTGTTAAAAGGACTGAACTTGCCCATAAACACTCAAATTTGCTTTAAAATGCCGGATGATGAATTTGCCTTACTTAATAGTGAAGTAGCAGTCATGCATATGTTTAGGGATGAACCATACATTCATGTCTATGTTGGAGAGGTAAATGATAATAGGGATGTAGAAAATAATAATGGGAATCAGCAAGATGGTGTTGAAGTGTAAACATGCTTTTGAAGGGTTCAGAAAACAGATATGGTCTTTTTTTGTTTGGTTGAACACTAGGATATGCTATTTTCATACTTTGTATTAGTAAAGTGGAAGATGATCTTCCTGGTAGTTTATGCAATGAACTATGGACTGGTTTATGAAGTTACTGCCTTTATTGTTTCCATTGTTATGCTGATTATGTTTTTCACATTGTTTTTTTTTCTCTCTCATATAACCTGCTTATATGACAAACCATAATTTTATACTAACTTGAATGATTCATGTTACATGGTGTTCATGGCAGAAATACATTTGTACTTTTTTCTTTTCTTTCATTACAGCAATTACTACTACAACAAGCACCACTACAATTACATATATCAGCTTCCTCCCTTTGGAGTCAATCCTCCTCCTTTCTTTAAGAGTCCCTTTATACTTGGCCATTTTTTCTTGCAATGACCGGATTATAGTTTTGAATTCTTCACATTTGGTCACTAGCTGGTCATTTTGAAGCATAGTAGCAACTCTTGCATCATTCACTCTTTCAGATGCTCTTTGTAGTTGCTTATTCTGTTGCTGCAGATGGTTAATCCTTGCTTGCATTTCTTCCATTCGGCCATGAAAATATGTCCCAATTTCCATTCTTTTTTTGCATGTTTCAGGTTCCATCCATTTAAAATACCCGCATGCATTACTATTCTGTTTAAAACAAAATTCCAAAATAAGTTGCCATTATTGCCTTTGGTTCACTGAAATTGTATGTGAGATTTGGATTTATCGAATAATTGGAACATCCTACGAATTTTCTTCCTGGATTTTGAATGGTCCATGAAGTGCATACGTGTGCTTTTTTTTCACATCTGCATCTTGAGTTGAAGTTTGTTGCATGGTGTGCATTGCTTGAGCTGCAACTATTTGGATTGTGTTCTATATGAGTAGAAATTGTGTATCTATGAAGAAGAGGAAATACAAGGGGGAGAATGAGAAGTGATGGTAGGTTGTTTTCATTTATATTCAATGGAAAGAGGGCAATTCTGTCAGCAAATTCAACGGACAGAAAGTGGTTTTCACGTGTTTTATCTCACCGTGAAATGTGTGAACGGTCTTTTTTTTTAGGGTGCAAAATGCCTATAAACATATTTCTGGGTATTTTGTGCAACTTTCATAAAAGTTCGTGGGTGTTTTCTGCATTTAACCCTATAAAAAATTAGTTAAACGAAAAAGTTCTTGAACATACCCAATTATTCCTATAAGTCGTTGGCCACTAAAAGAGTTTTAAAGCCCTATTTGGATGTAGGTTAAGGGATCAAATCCCTTTGCTTATATTCTAGAAAATCTGGACTTTCTTGGAAATGTTGTCAGCGAGTGTATAGGTATTCGTTTGGAGTGGTGATAGTTCAATTTCTTCCAAGTTGTTTTTGGGTCTTTTCAAATTTTCCTTCAGATTCTTCTTCTTTCAATATAGAGTAGTGTAGATCTATCGTATCTGACAAAAAAAAAGATTCTTGAATATCAATTATCTATCGTCATGCAAAAACTCTAAAATATATCAATATGCAATTGTTTTACGCATATCTATCAAACTAATGGCCCGTTTGGAACCTAAATTTTTTAGAAATTTGTCTAAAACTTTACTGTAAATCACTGTAGAAGTTGTCAAAAAACTTTTTTCCTTTTCATTTTTAACAGATTTTCTTTTATTTTTTCTTACTTTTCCTTTTTTTCCTTTCTTTCTTTTTTGTTTTCCTGCCCCCCACTTCCCGGTTCTTCTCCCTCCACCTTTCCCCTTCCTCTTCCCCTTCCCTCCCATGTTCCCTCTCCTGAAATTGCCAATGAAGCAGCAAACAGAGAACTTTTTTTTTTCTTTTTTTTTTTGCATTTTTTCTCTCCTCATCTCCAGCTATTTATCTCTCCCTCCCCCGCCACCCATCTTCTCCCTCTCCCCTTCCTTCACCCGGGGTCTAGCCAAATCCCTTTATAGAAGCTTGAATTTTCCCTCTTAGGTGCAGTACCCAATTTCAGTCCCTCTTAGGTGCAGCACCTAATTGCTTGAATTCCTACCTTCGCTGGAGCTCCGGTCGTTGAGAGGATTAGAATGCAAGGACAAAGCAGCAACAGAAATTCCCACATTCGATTTGCATTTTTTCTCTCCCTCTCTTGCCGGACAAAGCAGTAATAGATTTTTTTTTTTTTCAATTTTCCCTCTCCCTCCTCCTCTCCTTTCCCCGCCACCCTCATCCTCCCTCGGTGCAATCTGGTCTCACGACCAGATCGGCCAGAGGGGAAGAGTGGTGGGGGAAGAGTGGTGGGGAGGAGTGAGGGAGAGAGAGGGGAAGAAAAAAATGGGGTGTTAGATCGGGTAATGGGGAGGAAGAGGGGGAGAGGGAGAAAAAAACAAGAAGACTGACACTGGAAGAGGTGATCGACGCCGGAACCGGCAGTGGCGGTGGTGGCCGACGATAGAGGTGGTGGTGGGTTGGGGTGGGGGAGGAAGAAGAAAAAAAAGGGAAGGGAATTTTTTTTTTTTTTGAGTATTTTGAAGTGTGTAGGTAAAAAAATTTTGTCAAGATTTTTAGGGTTCTTATAACAAAAGTTATTAAAAAACTAGTTTTATACAAACTTGGTAAAAAACCAAGGTTCCAAACAGGCCCTAAGTTGTTTTTAATTGTTTAAAAAAAAAGAAAGAAAAAATAACTCAAATGATGAGATGAAAGTTGTTAGAAGGGAGAGATTATTTATGATCGTTGCTTGAATGCGGAATAGTTAGGTACATTAAGAAATTGATCCTTAAATTCAATTGGCTATGCATTGAACCCGTGCTATGTAATTGAAAGAATTTTTTTAAAATTGAAAGATCATTGAGTAAAATTCTTTCAAAATTTTTTTAAAAACTTTTACAGTGCACTACAGTAAAATTTTAGATAAACTCCCAAAAAATTCAAGTTCCAAACAGACTTATGTTTCCTATCACACCATCACTAGGTATGGTACGATTGAGGACAGGATTAGCAAATGCACTTCATTTAGATATCATCCACAAATTAGACATTTTCGAGTTGACGCTCGAAAAGATGTAAGTTGGGCTTTTACAAATCAATCAGGATCAATGATCTAGCCAATGATCTAGCCTCGCTACCAGATCGGCCAGAGGGGAAGGGGAAGGGTGATGGGGGAGGAGTGGGGAAGGGAATTTTTTTTTTTTTTTTTTTTAAAAAGAGGTCATACAAACTGGGTAAAGGGAGAGAATGGCAAGGGAAGATGGTGGGGAGAGGGAGAAAGGCAAAAAAAAAAAAAAAAAAAGGAAACGGCGCCAAAGGTGGTGGTCGGCGACGGAGGTGGTGGTGGGTTGGGATGGGGGAGAAGAAGAAAAAAGGGAAGGGTATTTTTTTGTGTGTTTTGTGTATTTTGAAGTGTGTAGGTAATAAATTTAGAGAAGTTTTTTGGAGTCCCTGTAACAAAAGTTATTAAAAAACTAGTAGGTAAAAAACTTGCTTAAAAACCTGGCTTCCAAACAGGCCCATATTTTGCTTTTAAAAGCATTGAGCCCCTGAATTTTATCCTCAGTTGTACTTTACTGTCCTTAATTCAATAAATAGATATTTTGCTCCCTACTTTATATTTTAGGACAAAAAATGTTCTTTTTATATTAGTTATTATTTTATTTCTTTTTTCTCTTTTTTGTTTTTTGCCCTTTTTCTATTTGTCCCTATTTTTTATATTTTTAAATTTTTCTCCATTCTCTCATGTGGAAAAGACATAATAAGGGAATAAATAAATATAAATAAAATAAAATAGTAAGGACGCTTTTGTTTTGAAATATCAAATAAGGGGTGCTTATTTAATGAATTCAAGGGGGAAAAATGCAACTAAATGTAAAGTTAGAGATGGATTTAGTGCATTTAACCCTTTGCTTTTTTGTATGATGTGAGTTGATTGTGATGAGGTTCATCTTTTAATCTTTCACTTACAAATGAAATCATTATGCTTCTCTGATTTATCATTTTTTATTTATTTTATCAACCGAGAAATGATGTTGATGTATGATGTGTGTGTATACATCATTTGAAGCTTAGGTGGAAAATAATTTTCTTGAGTTGAAATCTTGTACATTACGTCTATTAGAGACATGTTTATTAATCAGAAAAGGACATTATGACTATACAAAACTAAATAAACGATGGGCTTTGGAATTAAAATATAATTCCACCTGCATCGAATTTTTATTGAATAACTAAAAAAAAAAGTTTACAAAGAGACCCAAGTATATTTGAGCACAAAAGGGATTAACAGACATTCTGAGGCCCAATTTGATTTCCTTAACCCTAGAGCCTTCAAAAAATTGGTTTTGAGTCAAGCATGGCTCCAAACTCAATCAAGACTTTAACCAGTTTGATGAGGCATGGTCTTCAGATTAGAACCTCACCTCTCTCATTGTTGCATTTTTAGGTCTATATTGATTTGGGATTTGCCCCCTTTTGGGAAGAGTAGATCTTATATACACTATCACCCTTAGATTAATGATATGTGTATAAAAGTTCAATTTTAAATTCAAATGTTACATAATTGTTATTTATTTAACGCTGATAGCATACACACTATCAGTGTCAGTAGAAAAGATTAATCCTTTTGGTAACTGGTACATCGAATGGGAACAAACTACAGATACTCAGAGAGGTACACACGAGAGTTTTGAGTATATTAAAAAAAATAAATTTGCTTCTATTTTCATGAGTTTAGATAAACTAACATCTCTACTGTATATAAAGCCTTAACCAGCTTTTGGCGGTGTAAAGAAAAAGTGTCACTTAATGTTTTACTAATCTTACTCCTATTTCCCAAGCACTATAGCACTCAAGGAACTACCCAAAAAACTTCTCCTTTCAAGACTTTTAGCTTCCTACGCCTAACCAACTGAAAACAATCAACTAAGTCATAACTAAAGAAAAGAAAAACACACAAAGTTAGTAAAATTATTTCACGTCAAACTAATTTCCATTTATT